GCACGCCTGTAATCCAGCACTGGAGAGGCTGGAAGCAGGAGCATACTATGAGTTTGAGCTATGTAGTGAGACCCTGTACTGAATATATAAAAAAAATGTTCTGTACTTAGAATGATCCTGTGCTTAGCATTAATGCTAGCCAATGGCCTTGCTAAATTCTTATCAGCTTTACCTGTGCATTCGTATGTTGTAACTGAAATCTACTGGGAATTGGTACAGGTATTGTGGGTTTGGGTTCTCCAGTCCTGAGCATTCTGATTCTCATAACTATCAGGTTGCATCAGAAGCTTTCCACCTGCACAGCCTGATGGCCTCAGTACTGCCTCACCTCTCCATTCCCCTCCTGCGCAGGGACCCTGGTCCTCTCCAACAGCAGTGGCTTGTGTCACTGGTGGAGAAGGTTCCCACTGCACTGCTGCTGTATTTCCCTTGTGGGAGCTGAGTTCCAGTGCAAAGGGTCAGAAATGATATCTCCTGGGAGTTGTGGGGTACAGCACAGCAGTAGCTGTGCATGGTCTATGCTGAATCCCCAGGGAGAATCCCCATCTGTCTCCCCTTCAGAGCACAAGTGTCATAGAAGAGGCCACCATTTCTTCTTTACATTTGTTTTTCTTCCCGGATAATGGAAATAAGAAATTGATTTATCCACCACCGACCATGACATTTAAATCTGCAGTGAGCCCACAGTCCAGATATACTATCCTGTATTTGATAAACTCCTGTATTGAATAAAATATTCTTCTTGGACTTAGCATTATTTTAATGAAAAGGTGTTATAATACCCAAAAGAATGGAAAACATTCTGTCAACCCATGAAACCTGATCAATTAAAGATGTCAGTAGCCACATATATAAATAAAGACTTCAAATATTGTGTTAGAAATGTGATTGTATGTGATGATTTCTTGGTAGTCATGTACTGGAAGGTATAGCCGCAGAGTTCTTCCAACACAATGGCATATTAACCCAGTCTTTCAGAGTCTAAATGCCAACTTCTGAACCATATGTATAGAATTTTTAATGATCATACCTGATCAAAATCAAGAGCTAGAGTGTGAGGTTGAAATGCGCCTGTGTTCCCTGACACGGTAGCTAATTCCCCTACTTATGTATTAAGGATGCCATATGCTCACTGCTCCTCTGCATTACATATGTGACACCTAACCATCTGCTCCTCTCATCCAATCCTGACAGTCATCAGTTGTGGAGACCCAGGGACACCTGCCAACGGACTGAGGTATGGGGATGACTATGTGGTTGGACAAAATGTTTCCTACATGTGCCAGCCGGGCTACACCATGGAGCTGAACGGCTCCAGAAGCAGAACCTGCACTACCAATGGCACGTGGAGTGGAGTGATGCCGACATGCAGAGGTAGGGTAGTCACTGCTCGGTGCAAGCCCCTTCTATTTCTAAAACTTTGTGTCATTTTGAAGTACCTCAAATAGACAGTTTTTATGATCTCATGGTATTTTTCTCATCCTGAAAAATGACTTGATAGTTTTTTTTAAAAATAAACTTTTAATATACGTGACTTAAAAATGATATTTTGACAAAAACATTCTATCTTATTGTGAGTATTAACAATGAGCTTTAATGCAACAGAGAGAACAAAGCATAATGGATTCTAATATGTAATTGTCACTGTTTCTTTTATTGATGGGTGAAAGCCTAAAAGAGAATATAAACTTAATGAATTCTAAGTCAAATTTCTTGAGCGACTTAGATCGTGTCACTCAAGCATGAGGAAAAAAAAGCTTTCTCAAATCTGAAAAATATCAGCGTGATTTATAGAACTGTAGTTTTTCTCAAGCAAAAGGAAAACTTGCTACTTAACATAAACTCTAGTATTGTTCTTTTAGTCAATATAGTAGCGTCCCTATTTGAAACTGTGTTATCCCACTTGATATAATTTCATAGTTTTACCTACTTTTATGGTTAATTATAGAATGTAAGAAATATATCAATTGATATATATGAACTCAGGCCCTTGTGCTTGCCAGGGAAGCACTTATTCCACTAAGCTATCTCCCTGACCCCTGATATTTTTATAATAATTTTAATTTTTATTAATTGAGATTTCTCATTCACATGTGTTTTTAAATGTCTGTGGATTGAGTTTAATGTCTCCGTGATGCCTTATAATCTAAAATAGCTTATACTTTATGGATTATACAGTTTCAGAAATGTATCACTACACATATATGGTTAACATATCCAGACATATGAATACACATTTTTTATTTCAGAAGTCTTTTTATTCATTCATTAACTTATACCAGTTTAAATATAAAAGAACACCAAAAAGTTACTCTTACAGTTTCACATGCTAAAATGGTTTCTCATCTTTTGACTTTTAAGTGTTAGCCCTCCTTTTTCATTACTCTCTTCTCCCTCATCCAACCTACCTT